CCTTCGCTTCGTCAATCTGCAGCCGAAGGCCCTCGGGGGTATCGGTTGTGCCAACAAAATCGAATGCAAACAGCATTTCCGACACCGAAGTCTTCCCTAACGCCACTTCCTTCCCCGCTGCGTCAACTACGTTCCACACTGTCGTCAATGAGCACAATAAATATTGCACATATTGTTCGGGACAAAGCACAACCATGTAGGACCCGCCCCGCTTTTTGCAGTTATCCATCTAGCTTCACGTCGCTTTGGTACACTCTGACATCGTCTTCAACACAAGACTATTTTTGCATGTACAGTAGAGGTCCCTGTTCAAGGCCGCATAGTGTGGAAGGTACAAACCGGCCGTAAACAGGGCACCCGGCCTTACTGGAAACGGCCCTTGTTTAAGGCCGGTACAGGCCTTATACAGGATTATGAATTCCTCAATAAGGCCGGTACCGGCCTTATTGAGGAATAGTGCAGCGCACTCAAGGCTATGCGGGAAGCGGGCCGGTTCAAACATGTCTGAAAGCCAGCAGGGGTGTATATCACTCACTCACCGTGCCACAGCGCCGCGTTGGATGTGCACCACATGGCACTGCTACGTATGTATGTACTGAATGACGACACAGCGTGTCAAATGATGTTTGCACGTTTCCAAATGTTATTACCCGCCAATCTGTAATAACAACAAAAATTACCAAGTGCCTCCCTCTTGGTGACTACCCTACTGTACATTACTGTAACTGGTCAACATATATGTCGTGGTCCAAGTCACAAAACCAACCTAAACGACAGAAAAGCAGCGTGTCACGTGAAAATTGAAAACGTGAAAGTACGGACGGCAAGGACACCATAGAATGAAAACAATTGCTCACGAAGGGTCGACAAATATGCTGCTTACGTGCTGATGCTGCTCAGTTTGAGAGGACGTAGATGCGCCACAAAAACCAACAACGATCTACATGTGTTGCACATGTTAATATTTACCCGTCCAACAACGACGGCACAAAAAAAAAATATATATCTTCTGCATGCAATAGCAACGGCACACGATGGTTGAAAAAACAAGAGTGTTCCTGCATACGATCAAGGGCGACCGACCGACCAAATTGGCAGAGAAGACTCTGCCGTGACAGCTGTTGAAACTGATCTACAATACCGGACCCGGGAAAGCCACTCAACTTACGCGCCCCCCCCCATGCGCCTATCGAGTTTACAAAAATTGCCTCATGTCCGTCTGCCTCGCTGGTTTCGAAGTATGTGCTGCGATCATCGCCATCTTGGCCTTCTGCAGATGGAAAGCGGCGTCATTGTTGCCGCTTTCCTCTGCTGCCGTTTACAGAGCCCCGAAGTGCGACGACACTGCCGCGTACGGCGGTGGTGCCATACGAGCCGTGGGTTCCTCCGTCGCTTCGTCGTCCGAGCTCTCCTCCGCGAGAAGCGTGCCCTCGAGCAGCTGCGTCATCTCGTCCACCGCGTCCTGCTGCATGGCTTCCACCACATCCGGCTGGTCCTCCACCGTCGCCCACACTTCAGCCGCTCGCACAGCGGCGGCATTGGCAGGCTCTCCGGCGGTGATACCCAGGGTGGCCAACAGTTCTGTCAACTCCGTGTCAACACCGCAGGACCGCTCCTGTGCTTCATGCACCCGTGAGCTCATGCTGGTGAGGGTCTCCGCGAGAAGGTCCACCGGCTCCTTGTCTGCACGCCCCTGCACTGGCCCTCCCGCAGGGCCCGCCGAGCTGCTTTGCCTCTGTTTCCCGTGCACGGTCGTCAGCGCAGCCTCCATCTCTTCCGGGAGAGTCTTGGCCTTCACGAAGCACCTGGTGGACGGGACGCGACGCGGGAAGAGCAGCGATACAAACGCAGTAGAGATTGTGAGCGTCGGGCACCAGCAACGAGGATACATTGCGGCGAACGAGTTGTCGAGCGATGTCAAATTATTTCGTATTTTCTACAGCGTCACGAACATAATAGCAGCAAGCCCTGCGAAGGCACACAACTAAAAAAATGCAACACCGGGTTCTATTTTTGAAGACGGAAAAAACGGACAGCACTTGAACTATTTTGAAGCAATACCTGGCGATCGTCCTGGGGGTGATGCTGTCCCAGACGGTCTTGAGAAGATCTGCCGCGTCCAGCACGTGGGGGTGATTTCCCTCCGCCAAGCCCTTGGTCCCAGCCACCATCTTACGCTTCTTGGCCTCGGCGCGCAGTGCATCAGCCACGAGCATGGTTGACACCTTGACGTCGAGTAGCTCCCTCCTGTAGATCACCTTGGTGGCCGCGATGATCCCCATGTCCATGGGTTGGTGTACGCTGGTGCAGTTCGGTGGGTACGTCACCACCGTCACCTGCCCGACAGGATCCACCAGATCACCGTGCGACGAGCAGCCGTCCATGAGCAGCAGCACAGGCTCGTGGGTCCAGCGCCGAATTAAGGGTAGGAAGACCTCCTGCCACCACTTCTTGAAGGTCGGCCCATCACACCACGCGTTGGCTTGCGTTAAGTACTTCAGAGGGCTTTTCCGGCGCCTGAAGCAGCGCGGATTCTTGGCCGTGCCGATGATCGCCATTGGCACTTTCGCAGTGCCACTGGCATTGGCGCACATGATCGCAGATATTCGATCCTTGAACTCCATGTTCTTGCAACCTCTCGTTGTCTTCCGATCCTCGAACGCGGCGAGATACGTCGTCCTCGCTATGAGCTTCCACTGGATGCCGGTCTCGTCGACGTTGAAGATGTTCCTCGCCGGGTACTTCTCGCAAGCGGCACGGACCTCCTCCACGCCCTCTTTGATGAGCTCGTGGTTGACGCTGCCGGCCGTCCCATGAAGTGTTCGGCTGTGGAGGTCGTTGCGCTTCACGAAGTTCTTGCCCCACCTGTCGCCAGCCTTGAAGTCCTCGAGCCTCTTCCTCACCGAATCAGTCGTCTTTGCCGAGCCCAACAGTGTGGCTTTGGCAGAGCGGCCGAACGATCGGATGACGTGGCCGGTGACAGTGTACTTCGCCAGCCGAGCCTTTTCGACGAGGTCCAGAACTAGAGCATCCAACTATGCATTCAAGAGCAAGCAGCAAAGGGTTCAAATCGCGTGCACGAGTTAGAACATCACCACCTGTTTCAAACACGAGTCGTATCGACACACTACTGCTGTGCAACAGAACGCATGTATCACAAATTTACGCACCAGTACCAAAGTACACGCACGCACGCAGGAGAATTACATATGTAGGACAGTTGAAGTCCGGCGACCCCCGCCAAAGCTAAGATGCAGGTTAATGGCAAAATATACAGGCGGGCAATCCTACGCACAAATGCATGTGAGTGTACGTGTGCTTCAATCTTAGTTGGTTTGAAATTGTGTGCGCCTTTTGTTGTGTAGGTGGTGCACCCGATGCGTTTACAGCAGTCATTCGAGATGTAGCCAGCCAGTGCAAGCTGACCGCGTAATTCACGATCTCAACGTATATAATGAGACTTTGGGGGGGGGCGCTACACACATCAAGCACTGCGGTATTTTTTTGAACATGTGCGTTACGAGTGGAATATACGGCTCACCTCCCATACATAGGGGTCTAAAAAAAATAATTAAATTATTTCGCGCGAAGCGCGAAAAACTTTTGGAAGGAAAAAAAACCCACGGGGTACCTACACGTACCAAAACTTGATTTTTTTTCCTTGCTTTTTGAAGGGGAGGTTGGAATGGTACTTCCACGTAGGTACATGGCTTTTTACTTGGTAGGAACTTTTTGGGGGGTTATTTACAAAGACTTGGGCATTAGAATGGGGGGGCCAAAGTAGACAGGTGGATCAGGCAGGGGGAAACAGAACAACACGTTTTTTTTGATCAGGGTTTCCAAGCACTCACTTTTAGTAAAAAAATAAAGGGTACCACAACGCCCCCCCCCCCCCCTCCCCCGTTCGCCGCGCATTCCTTGTCTCTCTTCCTCCCTCCCTCCCTCCCTCAATAAACGTGCTCGTAACTCTTTGATTAACTGTCTCCCAAGTAACCCGGAAATTGCCGCCACACACTTTGTTTGTACACTTACTCACTATATAGATCTACATCCAGTAGATGCAACCCTGCCGACACAAAACACCCTGTCTGTTTCTCAACCATCCACTGAGCAGCACTTCGCACACTGACATAGAGACCACATCTTATGTCCCAACTTAAGCCTTCCTGTTCTCTCACTCTCCGGCCTACACTCCCCTTGTGGCACATTGCAAGGCTGCCGGCTCACCCCGGTGCCTCGCCGCGGGGGGGGGTGCGCGCTCTTGTACGAGCCTTGTTGTCTGCGGTGGCCGCATGTTTGGCAAATCTGCGGGTTGCGGCGTTTCTTGCCCTTTGGTTTGGCTTGTACCTCAACCCCACCCCCACCAATGTCATACCCGCCACCGCAAATGACATCTTCGTGGTCACCTACATCCACTATCTCTGAATCTTCTTCCAACAAGTGTTCCCCACCCGCAGCACCTCCTCCTGACATGGCCACACTACAACGTGGAGCCGCAAGGGGGACACTGACACCGACTGAACCACCAAAAGCCGAACCCGCTTCACCTTGCCGTAGATGCGCACGCAGCACGGCATGCTCATAGCGCAAAGGCAGCATTGTAACTTTAGCGTGAGCACGCTCAATGAAAGATTGGTAGTACGACTGCAGTTGATTCGAGGTTTTACGATACACTGCTTCCCACTTCACAGCACCAGACTCGATCCTGGCACAATGCCGGTTCCACCCTACTGCCCAAGTATCAAAGTTAACTCTTTGGTAGTTCTGCGTCCTCCCCATTGGGTCTCCCGGCACATAGAGTTGACTGTTCAGCTCGCTCTCGAATTTTCGTCTCTCTGCTCCAGTGTGGACGGGCGCGACCGGCATGCCTGTATTCATCATTTCGGCATACTTCTTCGCAGAACGCGTGAGCTTTGGCATGGGTATGGCGTTTGAGGCCAACCCTTGCTCGCCAACAAGATCGCTCGGCGCGTCTCCACCACTAGCAGGCCCCCACAGGCTCAGAGAAAGGCCGCTCTTCTTACCAGTGTCTGCTGCGTCAAGCGCAGAGATCCATTCAGGAAACAGGGGGTTGTCTGGGTACCAGCTAGAGGTCTCACGTTGAATGATCTCAATCTCGAATTGATCGAAGAACTCCCCAACCTCCCTTGGTAGGCCGCGGTTCTTCACAGCCATCCTGATGTTCCAACGGAAGTTGAACTCGAGAAGAATGGAGTGAGCCAGTGCAGGAGATGCGCAGTACGATGAGAGCAGCCTGCGAAGGTAGCGATGATAACCCTTGCACGGCAAGTACACCAAGAAGTCGGGGAAAGAAGCTAGGTTAGTCATACCACGAAACCCAATGCCGACCGCTGTACACCAAGAAAACTAAACACAACCGTCAGAGGTTATGACCATGTGTTCTGAAGGCATTTGAACAAGGAACGGGCTACTACGAAAAGCCTGAGATAAAAAGGACACCGCGCAGCGAACAAGACTGGTACCTCGGTGCAGTTGGTGCCTCGGACGCAGCGACGAGTCGTGATCCCCGCTGCATTCTGCCCCGTTGTGTAGTACAATGGCACACCGTGAGGGTCGCTTAGGCGGTCACTTTCGATGTGCTTGCGGAGCTGGTCGACGGCCTGCATTACCTTCGGCAGAATAAGTACTTCTCCGGATTTCGCATCGACTACGTTGCAGAACTGATTAATCACCGAATTGAAGCGCTCGAGCAATCGTTGCCGCTCCGGCACCAGCCGCCGGCAATTCCGTAAGAAATAGGTCCAACTCTTGTCCTTATATTCAGCAACGGCTTCTGGTGTCATCCCTTTGGACCCAAGGGCCTGCTCTACCTGCAGTTTGGAACGAGAATTGATGTCAGCTATGTCAGGCGAACCAGGCACACACAATGTTCATGCCGACGTCTAAGCCTTGAAAAAGTATTGATCAGACCGAGGACGACGACCTCAACAGCACTTACCTCCTTGATGTCATCCTGGTTGACAATGAAGCAAGCGTCTTTCAGTCGAGCCATGAAGGGCTTGAAGGCGCCATGACTCTTCTTGCACAGCCTTGAAATGCGCTGGAGTGCGTGGAAGATATCTAGGCGAACCTGCAGCGCACACTGCTCGTCACCTAACTGAACACAGTTGACAAACATGGAACAGCAGTAACATTCATCATCCGAAGAACGATGTTGGAATGCCGGATAGAATTAGGAGAATTTTTTCGCAAAGAAAAAAACAACCTACAAGAAAAGGCTACCACCCACACGTTGAGAACCACTCACCCAGTCATCCATGTCGACATCACCGCCGCTGGCGGCTCCACCTGTCCCGCTGCCGGCTCCGCCCGTCCCGCTGCCGGCTCCGCCCGTCCCGTTGCCGGCCCCGCCCGTCCCGTTGACGGCTCCGCCCCCCCCGCCCCCGGCCTCGACCCCTGCCCAGAGCCCGTGATCGCCGCGGGCGGAACTACCAAGGTCGCCGCAGTCATGCCCATCATATTCCTCCTCATCGCCGTCGTCCGGGTCTTCATCATCTGCGAACACGCGGGAAAAAATGTTGCGTGTGCGAATGCGGGTCAGTAAAATCTTGCCTGAAACCTGGGGCATGCGGGTGTTCAGCACAATGTTCACCGAATGGAGCTGGGAGGGAGGCATTTACCTTGTAAGCGTACCACGTGCGGAGGTCTCGGGGACGTGAAGAACTGGGCGTTGTCGTTGTAAGCTTCACTTGCGTTCTCATTCGATGAAGGTGCTGCTGCTGCAGGAGATGGTTTCCAGTCGCTCACGAGACGAACATGGGCGACATCCCAAAGTACAAGCCGGTCACCTTTGTACGCCTCATCCATCGTCACGCGGCCCACACCAGACGCCGCACGAGGTGCACCTTTGTGTGCGGTGTACGCTGCAGGCTTGAACACCCCGCTCAACCCGACTACGACTTGCGTTAGACGCCCTTTCCTCCGTGCGCCAGGGAACCAGCCAGCCAAGGCTTCGGCAGCGGTGTCATCGTCCTGTACTTCTCCAACACCAACACAGCTGGCATGGTTGTTGCTGTAGAGTCGTACCTGGCATCATGAAAAAAAAAAAAAAACACACGCACACACATAGCAACAGTAGAACGCGAGATCACGTGAAATTCATGTTGAAAGCCAACCCAGGTATGAGGTTCAGCGGTTGGCGTCTTTTTGGACTGAACAACGCAAGGATTCGGTACCTCCGGTAAACTGTGTCCACGCATCTTTGTTCCGGGTTGCAGCTCCACGGGAGGAGGGGAAAACATAGGATCCTGGAACTTCGCCACCTCCTGGTAAACAAGAACGGACGCGTAAGCATCCAGGCAGGCATACTGCACCTGCCACGGCCGCGTCATGAAGTCGCAGAAAGTAAGCGTCAACCAAGCATGACATGAGTAGGTTGAAAAAATTGGCGCAACCGATCAAGCAGTTGACAAAGAAGAACAAGGGCCACAAAACAAGATAGAAGTCACCTGGTCGTCACTGAGGGGAGAACTCCAGCGAGACAAGCGGATGACCGGATCCTTGGGTAATTGTCTCCCGAGCAAAGAAGACGCCATACCCGCAAGCGACCGACTCGGGGTCTCCACCCAACACTGTCTTGCGTACGTTCGCAGGTCCACCGTGTTCGCGACTTCGATCCCGTAGTCCCGCTCTAGATACGTCGCGTCCGAATTGATGTTGACGCCGACCTGCAGATGCGAAGGAACGAAAAGCTGAGTCAGCACAAAGAAAATCAGGACACGAATTCCTCCGGCGGTTACTCTCAAGAGTAGAAATTTAGTCTCTGCAACGGTGGATGCGTACCTTTGCAATCGAAGGGTTCTCCAAGAGGTTTTGCAGGGCCTTCGGGAAGTTCGACGAAGTCGTTTTCTTGTTTCCGCGTTGAAGTTGAAAGCAGTAGGCCGTGCCATCAGGAAGCGAAAGCTGAACGGTTGAGACAGGGTTAGGTGTGGTGCCGCCCAAGGATGGTTCCCACTCACAATCTAGACCCAAAACGTTCCCCTGCAGCTGGCAGCCGTCAATAAGGGCCACGACTGACGGCGCGATAGAGTTAGGTCTGAAGTCAAAGACACACTCGCCGCGCTTGCCCGGCGGGAACTCCAGCGCGGGCAACACTTCAACCCCTGGAGAACCCCCTCCCGCCTCTTCAGCTGTGTCGTACAAGCGCGCCCCAGTCTCCAACTCTATTTCCTTGAACATCGTAAGCAGCAGTTGTCTATCGTCGCAGCATTCGTCTGTGAGAGAAGTCAAATTGAGGGCGAGGTTAAACATCGGCCTTACCCGGCACAGTTCCATGAAAAACATGAACAAACGCTCGGAAGAGAAAACGGCAGCTACCCAAGGCAACCGAAAAAAAAAAAACGCACCGGAATAGAAGATGACCGGGAGCTTGAAACCATGGCCGAGGAAGCGTTTCACGAACATCATCTTCAGGTCGTTCTTGAGGTCGTGGACAGATGCAGTGGTCATGGCCTTCGAAAATACAACCTAGACGGAAATGTTTGCGAGGGCGTGCATTTTCGCACATTCCACGAGTGGACAAGGTTGATAGAGGTGCGTACTGCATATGGTACGATATGGAAACAAACTAAGGCGTACCAGCAAGCAGATTTTCACCGCAAAGGCCAAGGTTTCTACACCTGGTCGTACTCGTTCATGATGGTGAAAATTCCATGGACAGGCCGTGCGCGGGTCCCGTCTGCACCAGCCGACAACCGGATGACCTTGGCGTACTTGAAGGAAGCATCTCCTGCTAGTGAACAACCATCTACGAGCTGAGCTCGACGCTGCAGATACTCTTCACGCGTCCACGAGCACCCGTCGGCCTGGTTATTTGATATTCCAGAGGAAACGAAACAAAAAAGCGAACAAGCAAACCGGGTGAAGGTCTCGTGTTTACACATAGCAAGGACTACGGTTGCGGTACACATTTTTTGTCTATGCTCTCCGGCAGTCAGAGAACGACGTCGTGTTGCAAGAGAATGACCTCACTCTTCTTGCCTGTCCTGCTTGTACATACCTGCACCACTGGGGTTTCGTAGAACCCCTTGTGCCAGATGTCTCCCAGGTAGTGAGCCGAGGGGGGGCTGCTGTGAAAACCCGAAGGATCTCCAATGCTGGAGAACTTTGGGATCATGCCGAGATCAACATTGGGCCACATCCCCTTATGCCGAGAAACACAGCGATTGGCTAGCGACACGTACGACCGGAGTTGATTGAAGTACCTCGCATGATACGTATTCGCAAGCGATTTTGAAGCCGCCGCAAAACCTGTACCCTCGAGGAGGTCGTCTGCTAAGCGGTCAACTACGCTCTTGCTGATCGCCGCTTTTTTGGTCAAAACGAATGGGAATTCTTTCGACACATAATCATCCATTGTGGCCAAAACCCCAGCATCCCAAGCGTTGAACGTCTGAGTTGTGCGTTCATCTTCCGGCCTGCCTTTGTTTGCCTCAGTGCACCCCTTGCAGAGGTACCTGCGAACAGGCAAGCGACAAAGCCAGGTAGGAATTTGTCAACAAAAATATACAAAAACGCCCATCCCGTAAAACTTACCACTAGCGACAGGGAGAGACCGAAACATCTTTTACCTACAGCAGTAGACATCAAGACCACAACAGTTCACCGTTGGCGCACCTGTATCCGATCAGGTAGCAAACGTCGTCCTCCAGAAACACTCGGCGTGGCTCAGTGTTCCACCCGTCCGGCTGGGCACGCTTATTGCAATGCGGGCAGGGGATGTACTCGATCTCGTCCCAAAGGTACTCAGGGACCCAGACGAAAACCTTCTTGAGATAAAAAGGCCCGAGGGGCGGTAGACCTGCAAAAGGTTCAGGAACAGCAGGATGATGCAGCTCCAAAAAATCAACATACTCGCTCTCTTCCCGGTACCCATGCATGAGCGCGAGACACAATAACACCCGTCGTGTCAGGTTTGCCATCTACGCCGTGACCCGGCGGAAACAGCAATAATAGTAGTCGCCACAAACTATACTGCATGTCCACAAGCTACAATCTGAAATTTCCGCACGGAAGAGCGACCCACCTGCGCCTCTATGCAGCGAAGGTAGACGAGGGTGCGCCCATCCTCCGTTGTAGGGAAACTCAGGGGTGATCCGCATTACCTTCCCATTCTCGTGTTTCCTACATGCCTTGACCTTGTTCTTGACTTCGTCGATCCACGCGCGCTGCGGGTGCACACTCGGAGAGCTGCTCCCGCTACCACTACCACCACCACTGCTGCTGCCGCTTGAAGTTGAACTTTTTTGAGGTGTGCTGCCGGGCGCCGCCGAACCACCACCGTTTCCACTGCTCCTGCTGTTCGGGATCGCGGGATGGGCGGGGGTACTTGGGGGTCGTGTGTTGGCAGGACCAGGCGCGGGTGATTCCCGTGGGAACATGGTGTAGATCCTTGGCGTGCTGCGGGCGGCTTCCTGTCTTGAGGCAGTCCTATGATTAGGTCCTGGCTTTTGGGAGCCTCTCTGGTTCTTAGTACCCGGAGGACGCCCTGGCCTACGCCTTGCGGTCGGCCCCTCCGCGGCCGCAGGTGTGGGCGCTGGTTGGCGGCGCGCTGCGTGTGCTGTGCGTGCTATCCCTCCTTGCCGATTGTAGGGGTTCTGAGCAGGGGTGGGCGTTCGCGCCGCCTGCGATACCGCAAACATGACTGGGTAGAGATACACCAGAAGCCCCCGGATGCATTGTTCAACCGGTGTCTGCAGATAACCAGTAGTACAACACATTGGTGTAATACCACACGATGTTTGCCATGGCCCTACCGACACATGCTGGCAGCAAGGGTCCCGGGCCAAGGAAAGGGCTCAGGTCCTCGAGTCGGACTCTGTTACCGTGGTCTGGCGAGGCACACAGCACTGGGGCCTCTGGCTTGCTGGACACACACGTTGCCGGCGCCGGCGAGGACTGCTGTGTCTTGAGCGAGAGGTCGCAAGCTCCAAAAAGACCAACCAGCAGGGCAAGCGTGGGTATATATCGCCACGTCTGCATCTTAGCGGCCCGCGTCCCGCTGCCGCCCGACTTGTATCGTGTGCTGCTGCTGATTGTCTGGTGTACGATCGCCTTCCCGATGAGGGCGAGAAAAGGATGTCCAGCCGGGATGTCTCGTGTGTCGTTGTTGACCGAAAGCTTCCGGGTGCCCCAATTCCCAAGCAACTCCACGAACCGAGGTCCAAAGCACGGACAATGGCGTGGATCGCAACTCACGTCACCGACAATCCCTTCCTTGGGACACCATTTCGCGGGTTGAATGGTGTGTGGTCCTTCGTTACCGTCCTCTAGCATGAACGATAAAGATCCGGGTGAGGCAATCCGACACGAACGAATTTTAGGACAATGTGAGGTCCATGGAACGCTTGAGAATCTTCCAACGACGCTGCCGCTGTCTCCGTTGCCCTTTGCCTTTATCCGAAACAAGGAGATCGTCGAGGGACTGTCATCCCCGCACCGGGCATGGAACGCGTCACCAGACCAGCCATCTCGCGATGCACGGTAGAGCAGCTCCAGCCCCCCCCGGCTCGCCTGGACACCATCCCTGAAGAGTTGCAGTCAGCTGTTCCACTTCATGGGGTTCGAATATGTTGCTTCCTCCAGCGACCTTCATACCGATCTCTACATGTAGCTCAAGAGCGTTCGAGACATACTGAAAATGCTGCATTTAGTCCGGCAAGCTGACATGTCCGGAAGTCTTCGATGGACCATCACAGAGGCGTTCCCTGCCGCAAGTGGGAGACTCATCCAGCACAATACGGCCATCTTCAGAACGCGGAAGACGCCTGTCCCACACACACCCTTCGAACAGCTCTCCTAGCGTCCAAGTTGATGGTGATGCTTCGCGTATTCTCTCGAGCACAGAGCGGGGGATGTTGGACTCCAGTCCACTACCCTTCAATCGTACGACGGCTGGATACATGACACCTTGGACATCCCGACCTCGCTCATTGTGGACTCGAGAACTTCCCAACCGGAATCAAGGGGTCCCACTCTTGCTTCATCTCTTTCTTCCTGTGATCAAGAAGGTCTTCCATCTCCCGAATCTGGGTGTTTGCCGCCGCCGACAAATGCTCATGCTCGCTGGGGTGATGGCGATTCATCGTTGTTGGCGCACTCGATCACAGCGCAAGAAGGAGCTCCTCAAAGTCTGCCTGCTTGAAATCCTGTGAGAACGGTTGATGTGCCAGAAACGTGCAAGGCGGCAGGCAACGGGTGCTCCTGTTGGACAACGCGAAAGAGCCATTGCGAGAGCGTATCTGTGGACCCATCAGGACCTGAAAATGGTCAATCGATTTTGACCAAATTCGTGTTGATAAATTCGTTTCGTATTTATGAAAGCTGAGGGCGCGCACAACACATTCATCGGGGAAATTTTCCAAGCTGTTTGCAAGACATGATGGTGTTCTACATCACAACAGCGGTGGATGTTCAATGTAGCAAGCACAACAGCTTAGAGTAGGTGTACCGCATAGTAGCATCATCATTTCGAGCGCGGATGTGGAGCTCCTAACAGCCAATGCAAAGGGGGTCGGCCGAGGAAACCCGAGGTACCGATGGGGGGCGTAGGGGGTACCAAAGACGTAACGATGCTGGCGGCGGGGATGGGAGTTGAGTTATTGGGTGAGTCTTCCGTATCCTGAGGCAAGCGCGCAAAATGAAGGGGCGACTTAATGGAGAGTCTGAGGTTCCGAGAAAGTGGTGGAGAACGCCTATTCATAAAATTCGACAACACCCGGCAGAACAGAACCGCGACGGACTGAGTGTGACGGGGATGGATGTCGACATGGGGGGTATCAGGGTACGGAAAAGTATCACGTCTCGTCGACATATGTGATCTTCTAAATGCTGCAGAAGAAGGTGTTTCGAGCTTCTTTTGAGACGGTCAAGGCTCCTCGTAGTGGCCAGTATAGGGTGAAGGCGAATGCATGAAGCTTTGTTATCGCCACCCTGTAACCTCTACATAGTGGTACGGTTGAGTGGCCGGTAGCCCATATGGCGTGAATCAGGCAGGTTTCGCCAGTTTCATCAGACAACTACGACGTACATCGAGATAGCAAGGGCCACGTGCTTCGCCAGCTGGTTTGCCTAGGACTTACTGTAGGGGGTGAATGGGGGCTGGTGGTGAATCGATCCGGTGCGAGAAGTAATTTAGGATTCCTCTTCCACCATCCAAGACGGTTGCGATGGAATCTGGGAGGAGATGCCAACGCGCGCGCGCGTGTGTGTCTTTATTACATACCACTAGCATCGACCGCGCTGGCAGGCTGACCCATGAAAGGACGTCAGCCTGAGTGCGATTGAAAACACTAAACACTTTAAATGCCATGGACTGGGACCCCGTGAGGCGGCCGCATTGGGGAGGCCTAGCTATTCTCCGGAATAAAGACTGAACGGCAACGACAGAATAAAACTACACGTTCTACCAAGGCTGCTACCTTGCGCTCGAGTTTGTTTTGAAGTGCTTTCACCTTCATGCTCCTTGCTTTCACCACCATCGCTCTCATCGTCATTTTTACAGCTTTTTTCTGCAGTTCTTCTCCAGTCCTGAGTCGTATATTGTAGGGAAGGTCATCTGGCTCGAAGCTCTTGCTCTCTTCCACTCCATGGTTCCATCCTCCATCGCTGTTTTGGTGGTCCCCTTGTTCTCCCGTGCCCTCCTCCTTCGTCGCTACCAAATGAACTTCCCTCATTGTCATCACCATCGTCTTTGTCTGCACTACTACCGAGATCCGTGTGTGTGTTTGACTATTCCAGTATGGGTGGTGGTTCGTCAACCCCTTGAGGTGTATCGTTGGGTATGGCCTGATATGGGCTATTGCTTAGTCACGCCATGAAACTCTAGCCTAAATATGCCAAATCAAGTCTCCTAGGGACGGGGGAGCTGTGCAGATTGATCTCCTCTTAAACGTCTCAGGCAAACGCCCGCCAAGATTTTTCATCACAATCATGACTTGTACGAATCTACCAATCGGGAGAAGCACCCGCGGAAACCCGCACGCGTACAACGCTATAATACACCTGCAGATTTGCGGGCCGAGAGTTTCGAAGTGATGCTGTTTTGGTGGAATTCGGCGAGCTACAAACCCGTGCATGTTGCAAGCTACGGTGTGCGGAAGCCCGAATTTCGAACGCTTGAAGCACCTTTGCTCATGTTTATAGAACTACACGTACGCATGATCCGAGGCCTAGATATCGAACACAAACACCAGGAAGATGTGTGTGTTCCGAAATACTTCTGTTTTGGCTCACCCAATCTCCCACACTACTGACAGTTTTGTTTTACCGCCCATGGGACACCCATGGGTCACCCATGGGCCGCCCGTGGGCGGCCCATGAAATGCCCACCGTTGACACCTCAACCAACTTCGCCACCGGTATATCAACCTAGAACTTAGCCATCTTCACATCAACCTAGAACTTTGTCCACAGCGCCAACCTAGCACGTATCGTGTGGGCTTGGGGCTAGGGTTACAGTTAGCGTTAGGGTTATTAGCCGCCATAGCGCCCGTTTCAAAGCAGAATATCTATCGTTTAGGAATACACTGGCTCGATTGAAGGGCTCTCATTGACCACCCATGGGCCGCCCATGCGCAACAAAGTGCCCATTTGTAACCCCCATGGATGACCCATGGGTTTGGGAAAGCTGTACAAAGTGTGGGAGACCCAGCTCATCGATTCAAAAAGGCTCGTTTTGAAAATCGCCCGGGCGACCGAAAAATTGCCGTGTATTGTAGCGGCTACATTTCGCACACCCAGATTCCGCTGACGCTGCTTTGCGGTTGTAGATTCGTACGGAAGTTCGAGGTTGGAGAGCCGAACAATGCAGGCGTTTCAAGGCTCGCTGAATAAAGAGGAGATCTACAACACTCCCCCCGCGGCACCCTTCATGGAATTGGTGTAACGACTGTGTCACGCACCGTGGTTGAAGGTTACCTTGGGTTTCAACCAGTTACCGACGCTCCAGGACAATCAATCAAACGACACCTGAATGTATAGAAGGGTTGTTTTGGCGTACATGCACCGGGGTATCTTCCCGCACGTTCGTTTGTTTGTCGTATCATATCACTTTTTCGACACTCTTATCAACACATAGTCTATGTTCAGCGATGCATCCGAT